CAGACGAATAAAATTACCGTTCCAGAGATCGCGTCTTCTACTTCTTTACAACAAATGAATCAGTTCCATATGGTAGTTTTGAGACATTCATATATATGTGATTTCGCTGGGCGGGCCTCCAAATATCTGATCCCGTTTCATCGTGTGAGATACGGATGGATATATCATTGTAACTATGTAGTAGTCAAAACTAGTATGAGCCTTGAATTACAGTGAACGGCTAATTTTGTCCCTTTGGAATCTTCTTTTCCTGATTTGGAAGATTAATGATCAGTTGTGAAAAGAAGCTAGCGAAGCCATTCTTTAACCAGTCATAAGGCCGGTTACTGAGCAAAGTACTTTATTGTTCAAAAAATTATGTAATAAAGCCCACTTCGGTTTTCGGAGATCGGCTACCTAAAAGAACTCTGCTTTCTGAAGTGTCTTCTGTGTCACAGGTTAGAAGATCGAAAGCAAAAGTGGATTTTTCAGTGGGTCTTTTAACATCTCTCTGGCTGGGGTTCGTGCATCCGATGACCAGAAATATATTAGAAGTGGTCATTTCATCCTCTCTTGTCTTGTTCGCTAATGCAGTTCATTCAGAGTGTTTCAATGCACTCTCAAAATCACCCTCCAACTGGCAACAGAATGATTTTTAAAAGGAACTTTATGGGATTGCACTAACGTGTGTGCATGTACCACACGTTCATTCAAATCCCAGAAATGTATAAATGTATGAATTTTTCTGTGCATAGGCCACGAGACTATCTGGTTTGACTAATTTCATCCCATCCGCACATTAACACTTTGACTGCGACGTGCGCCATATGTGGTACATGCAATGATGTCCCAAACTGCGACGTGCGCCATATATGGTACACGTCTAGGACTGAAGTTATGCAGGTTTGAACACGCCGCACCACGGGCATACAGGCTATTTTGAGAGTCGCAGTCAAATTTTTAATATGGCTTTGATCATGTGTTTTAATTTTTCGACTGAATTATATTTTGGGGATTTTTCGCCACGACCCTTGGACTGTTCGCCCGACTTGGTAGATAGTCAATATATCTTTTTAACCGGCTCATAAGGTAAACAAAAATACAACTTAGACAAACATCTTCCTGATTTTTACAATAAATGGCCTTAATTTAACCAGCTCGAACCCATGACTTGTTAATTAGAAGTCCAACTCTCTAACCTTTGAGTCATGAGCTTGGTTTCGATCGAGAATATTTACATTGATGGATAGCGCTCACATACCGGTTACCGGGCTCGCTCTTCCCGTACTGCCTTAGAGCTTACTCTCTTGCCTCGCCAGCAGCTGCACACAGGCTAGTGTTAGAGGCAAAAGCATATTGCCAACAAAGACAACGGAGACTATAAAGGCCATTTCAGCTTATTTACCGTCATTAGCCATCTATACTCGACCCCAGATGGGGTATCACCTCAATATTCATAGTTCTCATTGGTACCGACAAGACAACGAGCCAGTGGCTCAAGAGTTAGAGCGTTGGACTTCTAATAAACAAGTCACGATTTTGAACCTCGAGTGGTGCACCACATGTAGTCGGGTCGGGCTGAGGGCAATTCTGTTTATCATCATGGGTTTGCGGATAAATCCAAAACTTCAGGCTAGTAAAATATTCTTCAACGATCCCTTTTCTTTCTTTTACACCGTTTCTTAGAGCTCGCATTTCTGTTTATATAGGCACGAGGATTTTTTGTTCTTATGACATTTTCATTTAGCCTCCTGCCCTATAGATGGTGCCTCTCGGCTGGAGCCAGATGCTTCTGCCATTGATACAATTAAGGCGAAATCGAGCGCGAAGAAGGAGTCAGTCCGCGGCAGATCAAAGACGTCGAAGCCTCCCCTTGTTTTGCCGAGAGCGCAAATCAAACCTGCAGTACAACGGAAGTATGATAGTAACCCTAACTTCGTCTACTACTGGGGAGTGCAAGATGGTAGGTCTATGAAACACCAGTCTCATAAAACTTTAATGGATTATCTTGTCATTACGCAGCTAGGCCTGAGGACGTAAGTCAGTGTCTCATTAACGTCTGCTATCTGGTCGCTATTACGATTTGCAGTCGCAAGGCGTCAAACGTGACTTGTTAATTCCCTCTGAAAGACGGAAGATTCGCCCAAAAGTTCGGTAAAATAAAATGTTCTTTCCAACCGTTTTTCTTTCCCTATCATATGAAATCGATTATGCGTTAAGATTTAATGATCGCAACCCACCAGCTGAAAACTTGTTCAGGCTTTGCTTGCAATTATTACTGTTAAAGTCAAAAGCCATTTAAGCTACTATTAAGGGATTATGAATAATGTTAAGAGCGCGGTTACGATTCGGGCTACGGCTAGAGTCAGTGATACTACTTAAGGCCAACCAAATAATTTACCAAGTTTCTGCAAAATGAGAATGGTTAAGCTTTTTCTCCTATTATCCGCGGACGTGCTATAACAATCGAGTTAATAAACACGATTTTCCTACATATTTTCTTGAGATCAATAGTGCTATTGGCAGACTACGCGATTGAATATCACTAAAAGTGTGATAATTGATGCTACTACTCAGCTGGAATGTACTTTTTAGTATTTTTTCTTCTTAAAAACGCAGACAAACATGTCACGCTGTTCTGTTACATCACATTATGTTAGTAATGGCCATCACTTACTCATTACCGAAGCCTTTCAAGTTGACCATGGGTAATCATAGGGTGAGCAGTACTTCCTGTGACAGCCCGATGTTCCTAAAACCAAAAATGGCGGTCATTTAAAATATTCATAAAACAGATTGGTTCAGTTCGATGAAGTGCTTATGACGCATCTGCTAGACCCAGTTTGTGGAGACTATCTGCGCTTTACTCAAGCGCATATTTGTGTTTCCATTTCCAGTCAGGGTTATGATTGGTTGAATGAAGGCAGAATAGGCTCGAAACAAACTGAATCAATCTACCCGCATTTTCTATCGTCGCTTCTCCCCGCAATTAACATTTCAGTATACTGAAGGAATGTTGTGTTAAAATAAATACAGGAGCTCGACAACAAACTTAATTCTCGGAAGTTTTCGGCGCTCTATTTAGGCAGCCCTCAGTGGCTTCACCCATCCAGTGGCAGTTCTGACATCATACCCAGCCGTCTATTATAATTGTGGGCGGCCACAAGCTAGCCTAATCGAGTACGATGTATGTTTCAAAACGTTTGTAACCTTGACTACGTTATAATTTGCTTGTGCTTAATTAATTTATGAACAAACTAACGAAAAGACTTAAGAGAATTGGAAAAGCTTCATCCATTTTCCTCAGGAACGGAAGGTAAACTTGTACAAGCTTAATGCATAATCATTGAGACTAGTTTGCTCAGTGCATGTTTAGGCAACCGATTTCAACCTTATCCGCAAATGCGAGAAAGCTTCTCCCAGGTATGCCGATGTTTTGCCTGCTTGTTGGCGAGTTACTCGCCTATGCATTAACAAGCATATGTAGTTTAAACTACAGGAGGTATTTCAATCATTATTCCTCATTCAGTAACCTGCAAAACGGGTATCATCGACCCAACTGGAGTACAGGTTCCGGCATTCCTTGGCAACTTGCCTATTGTGATCAGAAAAGAAATTGTGCTTTGTCCAGTTTGTCGTATTTAGCAAACATTCGTTTCATACATGAAAGGTGGGTGACGTTTGGTTACATTTGCAGAATTAGTCGATCCGGAGGAGTTGTGCATTACCAGTGAGGGCACTCCACAGACTTTGGTGAAAACACCAAATCTCCATCAGGCCATTGTAGAAGATCCCTACAGACCGAAGGTTCTCAACACTGGCACAGTAGGCCGACCAGTGGAGGGAAAGCTGGCCTTGAGGAGGCTGCGTGGCCTGCGTATATTGTCAGAAGTGGTCGACTTCGGTAGAATGCAATTTGGACGGCGTTACACGACACACATTACGCTCTTCAATGGCGGAGTGGAACCGACGAACGCATGGATTCGGGATCCTCCCAAGTCCCTGAAACTGTCCGTCTCCTACACAAAAGGACAGATCGCCGCAGGTAAGTCAGTTGCCTTCAACTACAAAGGGTTAACTGGTACCATTTCAGTTGGTCGCCCACCTTAGGTACCCCCAGCCTCTAGTCCTATGATTACTTTTGGTTTTATTAGTTTTACATTACTTTTAGTTTAGGTTAGTTTTTAGTTTATAAGTTCTAGTTTAGGTTTAGTTTAGTTACCGCCAGCGTTGGACAAATTTACTTAAATAACTAACCCAAAATAAAAAATTACCTAAAATAAAAACTAAACTGATCCAACAGTCCCGCAAGACAGAATTCTGGGGCTAGACCAACTTAACAGTTACTGGTTAACTATTAGAACACCATAACAAATCGCACTGAGCAATTGGCACTGACTGCAAGACAGTATAATGCCGTTCTGTTTGGCCTTCGGGTCTTCGTCTAGCGTCCACGTGAGTGAATACATATCAATGATCAAGCAAAAGTTGAAAAAGTATTTAAGACAAATAAGTTTGAATTGTTGACTGAGCATTTCCGGTTTACTTTCACTGGAAGCCAGCATGGAATCAAACACAGCCTCTGCATTCCTGGACCTTTAACCCGGACTCGGATTGTCATCAAACTATGGCATACACTGTGGACTGTTTAAAGCCGCTTGAGATTGCCTACCGAAAGGGCAAAAATAAGTATTTATTGGAATTTAGGACCAGGTGGTGTTGCTTATCCGATCGTTAAGGATTTTTCTTGACTTGAAAGAACTGTCCCGCATACCAAGGCATTTTCGAAACGCTGTATCGACTAACTTCCATACACGGTGAGAAAAGGAAGTAAAGGATTACTGGATGAACAACAGATTTGGAAACCGTGGAAGAGGGATAGAAAATAGAACCCGACATGATTAACATAGACTGATGGAAAAAGAGTGGCCGCTCAATTTTTGCAAGGTAATTGACAGCTATTTCCCCCAAGAAGGCTTTGGCCGTCTGATTGAGGTTCGAACCCAGAATTTGCAGTCCGAGAAAAAAATGTAAAGAAGTCGAAAGCTAACGGGGTAGGAGTTTCCACGGTAGCGCATATATGTTCTTATTTATATTTAAATGCCTACTCCAACGCTTCCCGTAAGACAAAAACTTGGGGCATTTTACATGCGAAATCACTATCCCAACCTAACCCTAACACTAACACTTACCCTAACCCTAACCTT